ATGGGCCTGATCTAATCAAATTAGATTAGATCAATCTTGCTCATTCAACTGTTTTTATGAAGCATTTTTTATACCATATTAAGCTGTTTAAGTGGTAGTTGTAAACAGAGCCATTGGTGTGAAGTTTGGATGAGACAATCAATTAAAATTCTTTAAAAAAGTTTGTTTTCCAAGTTAAATATTTAATATCCTAAATCTATCCATTTAATGTTGAAAAAACATAACCAAACATTAAACAAACAAACAAAAAACAAACAAACAAAAAAAAAATGGGATACTGGGTCTCTTTTAACTCAGTTGACTTTTATAACCTCAACTAAAAGTGCATAAACACAAAACAAACAGCCAGACCTGCAATCAGCTGCCCCTCATAGTTATTAGTGAGGTTCAGGTTCAGTCTCAACCTCAGTTTCACTGCAGTTTTCGTAAACCAGAGCGTGTGAGTGTCACTGTGTGCTTAAGTGGGGGTTGGCAGCCTGTCAGAGCGGGAAAGGTGGCAAGACAAATGGAGGGATCGTGGGTTCGAGCCCTGGGCAGCGCACAAGCCTGATAGATGGCTGAGGACTGACTTAAAACGTCTGGGTTATTGATGGTCGCCCGCTGGCACTAAAAATACATTGCAACACTGACCTGAACACACACACACACACACACTCACACACAAAAAGAGAAAACTGAACCGTTGAGTGGTTTCTTGCTTTCTTGCCTCGAGAATTGAACTTTAAAATGTTTTGAACCTGATAATGTGATTTTGTTTTCACTTACAGGTTCCGAAGCAGGCGTGTGTGACCAGGCTTTGTGACTGCGTGACTGCAGGTCATTAAGCAAAAGTCTAACGCCCCAGTGGTGCATTGATGCTACTCTTGAATAATGTCAACCTGAACAAAAGAAGGAAAAGGATTAAAGAGAAAAGAAAAAAAAAAACAAGCCAAGGTAAACAAGGAGCTTCTATAGGCAAAGAATATAAATGAAGGGAGAAAAACAGGGATTTAACAACTAATAAGGTGGGAGTTCTGAAAAGTTAAATTTAATTTCTTTAATTCTAAAATCAGCCACCAGGACATCATGTTGTTGAAAACTGCTTCAAAAATAAAACTGAACTAAACTGGTTCACTCAAACTACCTTCTGTCTCTCCAACTGCTCTAAATCTGAATAGGACACTACATCTCCTTCACTTGCTCTGGTCAGGCAGCAACGCCCTCCCATGTTGTTGTACAACTCTCTCGCTCTCCCCCTGTGACCGGATGCTGCAGCCCCATTCCACCCTACTCTCCCTTCTGTCTCTTCTTGTCAACAATAGGCCACAACTATGTTGCTATAGGTTGCTTACTATGTTGCTTACCTCCTTTATTTCAAAATCTTTCTCTTGTATTTTGCACACCTGGTACTTGCCTACTGACTTGCCATTATGAGAGTTCTTGGCCCCCCTCGGACTCAGAGCCTGGGACAACTGCCCTCCTCCCCTGTAGACGGGTGTGGGTGTATGTGATCAAGCAGGTTGAATTGAGCTTTTATTGTCTTTCCACTGAGATACGCTGCACAGACTCTCATTTTAACACACACATGTTCACACACACTGGCTGGGATTGTAGTTCAGCTGCTGAACCGTAGACGAGATCAGTGAACTCTGACTCGTAATAACAAGAGTCCACGTCAGATTTCATTTCCTGCCTGACTCTTTGCCCTTCTACCATCACTTTTTTCTTCTCTCTCCTTTTCTCTTTTATTTCTGCCTTCTTGTTTCTACACTCCTCCATCTAAAGCGTCTTTTCCCAATTTTCATTTGTTGTCCTGTTTTTAGTTATTGAAATGCATTTGCAGTATTTAAATTTGTCAATCTCTCCACCTTGATTTTAATAAATTGTTAAATTTTCAAACTGAAGCTGTGACCAAAGCTTTTACAACTTCAGAATACATTGACCTTCAGTCCTGTTAATCAGTTTAAAGTAGCTAAGCTAATAATTTGGCAGCTGTCCTTGCATGAAAGCCATGATGATTAGCTTCACTTCAGCCCTGACATCTCTATTCATGAATTTCTGAGTCGGGCTCTTAAGAAAGAGGGAAATTAACTCTTGAATAAAAAATAAGGGAAAAATATTGAATCCTAATTTAACAGCAAATTAAGTATTGGCAGTGTGACTGCTAAGATTTTTTTTTTTTGAAATAAAAGAAAGCAAACTGTTTCTGGGGCAAAGACAAAGCTGAGGTCGTAGTTTACACACATCCCTTCTTTCAAATCACAGAAAAGATGTTATCTTGTGAATTTGCCATCTGACTCTGTGTCTTATTGAGTTATTGGAGGTAAAGTGGGTCAAAGTGTTGTGGCAAAGGAAGCCAATTATCTCCCCCCTGTCTTCTGAGACGTGTCTTTAATTATCAACTTTTTATAACTCGGGTCTTAATGATATAGCCGAGGGTGTCTGCGTCTTCGTCTCACTGTTGTCTCTGTCTGGATTTCTTCTTCTGTGGTTTGATATCTCTGTTTAATGAAAGTGCCAGCGGGGTGTTCTTCTGCATCTGACACTCTTATTCCAACACCCAATTTCAGATGCTCTCTACTTCTGTCTGCAATCAAAGAAACTCATACAAACCCTCTAAAAACATACCCAGATTAAAAAATAATAAATAACAAATGAACTCCTGCTCCTGTGCTGCTAAAGGCTAATATTTTTTAGGGAAATAATTTATAATGAAAATAATGTGTTTTTCGTTGTATTTACTTTTTGGATGCATGCGGCTTGTGCTGTATACCAATATTCTTACTTAGACATTTAAATAAACAAAGCTGGCTTTAAAGAAAGGCTGTTTTTAGATGTTTAAGTTTGTTTTCTTTGGCGTTACACAACTTCAGTGCTTCTTTGGTACAACTTTTAAGAAAGATTTTACAAGGAGACCAAAATTAAGTAAAACAATTTTCAAACTAGAAAATTCCTCACACGATGCACCAAAAACTTTGTTAAAAAAAAAAAAAAAAAAAGACAAAACTAAACATGTTTTTTGAACCATTTATATTTATTTACAGTACATATCTCCATAAACTGAGAAAATTTGCAAGGCAGTTGTGTGTGTGTGTGTGCTTAGAGCTCAGCATCTGTAGTTAATGTCGAGGCTAAATGTGATTGGTAATGGCTCTGGGATAACAGCCATTCACTTATTTCAAAACTGGCAGATGTTGAAGCAGTGATGCCAGGGATATACTGCTGGCATATGAATAGAAAACTCACAGGTACATGTACACACACTCACTCACACACAAGCCAAGATTATTAATCAAACCTCTGACCAACCAACTTGTCAATGTCACATCAGGTAAGGTTGATGTAAACCACTTTTTTTTTCCCCAATATATTTTGTATTTTAACATCTTTTTCAATCTCCAGTTACTCACCACCGCTGACGTCAGATGACTGTATATGGACGACATTGGGGAAGCAAAGCCAGGTTTGTATCTTACTAGGATACATATAGGCATTCAAAAAGGACAATAGTAGGGCTGCGGCTGTCAAATATTTTAGTATTTGAATATTTTACTGAATATTCCACAGATTAATCAAGTAATTGGATAAAATATTTTTTTGTTTTTGGTGAAAGTGCAACTATCGCGGAACTATGGCGGAACAAGCAATTTATTGTAACTATCGCAACTTGTTATGATAACTATCGTAACTTATCATGATATTAGCTTTTATCATTCCCCTCAAGACATTAGTGTCTGATACCTGAATAGATCTTACGTTACCTGCCTCTACTACTACACTGGCAATATTAGGCTGCAAGTTAGCGTGAAGAGGAGTGTGCAGAGTAGTGCTGTCTCCGCCCACGACTCAGAGGCGAAGTGCTAATGAGTTACTAGAGCTCTGCAGAAGAAAAGCTCTTCTCATCATTCATTTTTTTCACCTCTGCAAAACCAAAAACTGCGCTTACTCCTCATTCTGCCGTGGTGACGTAAGCGCATTGTAAATAATCCCTACGAAACAGTGACGATTTGAGCTTGCAAACAAGTGCAGAGAAAATTCCTCATTTTTTTGTAATCGAGGTACTTGAGGAATCATTTCAGCCCTAGTCAAGAGGTCAGCAGCAATGAGACAACCTATTTTTTATTCAGGTCTCTCAGAACTGGGCGGAGAAGCATGAAGGCCTGTCAACCATTATTCCATTGCTCCTTGTTGATAGGATGAAACAGTAGAAAAAGAAAAAGTCTATTAAGTCCTGTGAGATTTGTCACGAGCACAATAAGACAAGACAAAACAGAACAGAAAACTCTCCTTTTTACTGGCTGCACCCTGCCATCTTAAGCTAAATTATATTTGTAAGAAGAAGTGGAGGGGTAATGAAAGTATACCTCAACATCTGGTCAATGAGCAGCAACAGCTAGAGTCAACACATGGAGAATAGTCACATAAGCCCGGTTTATACGTCATCATCCTTCTGATGCTGATCAGCAAAAGTGATCTACAGTGACATGCCTGGTATGCTGTGATTTAACTCTCCTTGAAAAACAATATTACCTGGAGAATATTTCACTACCAAGGCTGCGATGTGTTGTACCTTGAATGTAAATGAAAAGTAATTGTTCTCACTCCATCTGGCCTCTGATGCCGTGCGACCAGAAAGCAAACCAAAAGCTTCTTGCTGTTCTTTTATGAAGAACATTTTTCTGCAAAGCTGGGTGTAGAGCTCTTGTATTTGCATTGTTTACTATCAGATATTACATCAGTGAGTATATGCATCATGTCAACTCTACCACAGAATTATTAATTCTCATTACATCTGCTGTGTTGTTGAAGTCAACATGTGTTGAAATGTTTCAAACTCTTCATAATGAGTTGGTATGAGCAGCTGAGATACCACCAATGGTGTTGGAGTTGCTTTCTCATTTTTTTCAGCAAAAAGTTTGATTACCAACACTTGAGGGTCATTACTCATTCTCTCTTCTGAGCTTTCACAGAGCTGGAGAAAGTCAACTGAACTGAACCACTTCTGAATGAAGTGGTTTGGTCATGTATTAAGGAGAAAATGAGGTTTGAGAAATTGATGTGTTTTTTCCCCTTTCCTGCTTTTCAACAGAACAGACCAGCGACTGTTCAGTCTCTTTAGGCAACTGCAAAGTGAGATAATTCAGAATACTTGAAGCTAATATAAGAGTCTCAAATATACCAAGAGGCAGCAAGATATTGGTTTTATATTGGAGTGGATTAAGGTATTTTGCCTAATTCTTGACTTGCCTGCGAACCTGTCCCCCTGCTCAGTACTGTTTGATGAGATCCAGTTTCCCTTAGAGTCCTCAGTTCAAAGTTGCCACTAGGAGTCATTGAGACGCTCTTGAAGAAACTCTTTGGGGCTGCAGCCTGACATTACGACACGCTACGTGTCAGTCTCTGATCACTCTGACTCTCTCTCTCTCTGCAGCTCCTTGGCTCTGTCCTGTAAAAGAGAACGATAGAGAGATTATTCATCACAGGATAATGATGGTACAGCAGCGCAAGTGCCAAAGGCTCTTGGTAGACTGCCAGACAGAGCAGTCTGCATCTGTTTATGTATGTGTGTGTGTATGTGTGTGAGCTGATAATAGTTTACCAGGCTGAGTGACTGTCTGAGAGAGTTGGAAGTGTCTGTGGCTGCACTTGAACATGATTTGGAGCTCATTCAGACTCAATTTGCTTCAGAGTCAGAGAGGGAGAAGAAGAAAAAGAGACGGGGTAACACAAAATGACTGATGAAAAGCCTAAAGAGGGAAAAGCGTAGACTAGACAGAAAAGAAAATCCACACCCTAGCACATGTTGAAAAAACACAGACCCTCCTGGACCTTTCTGTCCTCTTTATAGACCTTCTTTGCTTTTGCTTGTTTACAGATTTTACTGAGTATTTACTGCACAATGAAGCCTTTAACTTTTTAAAGTTCAAGATTCGCCATCCATGTTGAATTAGGCATATGATATATGAAAGCAAAAGAAATAGCCGCCTGTTTTCAAAGAAGCAAATGATAATAAAGAGCTTTGAACTTAAAGGGGAACTCATGATATTGCAAAAAGAGCACAGATGAAGATCAAGAGAAAAAGCCCCTGCAGCTGTTTTTTGTCCTCAGAAAACCCTCTTCCAGAGAGTTTATGGGCTTGAATACTACTTTTTAAGTTTTCTACAACATGATGTTCATTTTGTAAAAGAGCTCAGATGAAGACTTTGACTTTAAACTTGAGTAATTTGTAGATGTTGATGAACACAGACTTCATTTTGGTTCCTGTGAGTGTTTTCTGTGAGTGTCTTGTTACAGTAGGATATTTGTAGTCCAGGGCGATGCCTTCAGTGAGTCCTGTCGATGCAGAAATGCCACAAGACAGCTCTGTAGAGGTCAGTGTATTTGTGGATTAGAGCCTAATGAACTCCAGAGGAATATCAAGATGATGTGCTTCTTCTCACATAACTTTTTAGTTGAACAAAATTTCCCAAGTGGCCCCAATTTAGAAAGACTCTTTCTGTACTTTTATAACTGTAATGTCTGTTTGTCCTCTTGATGCTTTCTAGAGGGCATCATTATGAGATCTCATATAGCAAACACTACCCTCACAGCTACTTCTGCTCTTTGTTTTTTAAACTATGGTAGCAAAAGAGAGTTTTGTCAGTAGTGCTCATAAATAACTTCAAATATGTATATTATTAATGCACCATGGTGTCCATTTTGAAAGCAAGGTAAAAAATACTTTGTCAATGAACACTTTTAGCACTTTGATGATCTGTCCTCCAGCCAGTTTCCTCTTTATTGAGGTTTGTGCAGTGGAAATAATAGGTATTTAACAGATAGCTCATCACTTGAACTTCATAGGTTAAATGCTTTTTGTCCATGTCTACACAAGTAACAGGAATTAAAGCTAAAACAGGATTTACTGTAGGTAGAAAAGCGGCATGCTTCATTACTTAACCCTGCATGGCTCAATGCTGCAGGCAGTTCTTTGAAAGGAAATACTGTGATCTGACTGAATCTCACTCATGCTCACATACTTGCATCAAAGGCTGTTTGGACATGGATGTCCTCATCATCAAATAGCTCTTCAACAGCTTTAGAAATGGAGAACAATCTCTGTAAGACACAAAAATGAAGTTAAGAAAAAAGCTTTAGTTTGAGTCCTTTTGGGAGGCCAATAAGGGGTTTAAGTGAATGGGATGAAATCAGAGTTCTTTGTAAGTTTAGCAGGTTTTAGGCAAGAGGAAAACCTATCACCATTGCTGTTTGCACTGTTTATTAATGACCTGGAGAACCATCTAAAAGGCGATAGCTGCAAGCCTATTAACTGATGGAAATTAAAGATCAGTAGTGAAAAGACTAAAGTTACAGTCTTCGGCCACAGAAAAGCTGACATCAGCAAACTTTAGTTCACCTGTACTGGAGAAAAATCAGGAGTTGTCCATTGTTTTGAATACCTCAGAATCACTATGAATATGAATTACAAGGGTTGTTGCAGTTAAAAAAAAATAATTGTTGGTTACTGGGATCATTTGATAGAAGGTAAAGAAAATAAATTGAATACATTAGTGTATAACTGCTTACTTGGTTTGTGTAACTCAGGTGTATTTGTGTCACCATGGATTCTGCAGGTTAAGCAGATATTGGATGGTTGTGGGTTGTTTTATCTCTGGCTCTCTCAAAAGTGTATTAGCTCTGACTGGCTGAAGCTGACTATTGAACACAGACTGAAAGATCAGTTTCTGCAGACATGGAGAAGTGAACTTGGCAGTATGACATCATGTGACATCTACACTGAGTTTAAACAAGAATTTAAATTAGAAAAGTATTTATTGTGTCCAAACCAAAAGTATAGACTGGCCATCTGCCACTTCAGTGTAAACAATACAAGAATACCAACAGTCACTGGAAGGTATAAAGGGCATGAGGTTATGTGACCTTTGCAAAGATGGCCAGATTGGTGATGAGTTCCGCGTTCTGTTTGAGTGCAAGAGTACATGTATCGCATATCTAAGAGAAAAAGAAAAAAAAACATCCCTTAATATTGTTTGTCGCCCATCTATGTTTAAACTTACCTTGTTATTACAGTCAGATAAAACTAAAGTTATTTATAAGCTAGGTGCCTTCCTGAGGCATGTCCTTCCTCTGTTCAAGTGATACCTTTTGTTATATTTATGTTGCACTGATCAGCGATATATGTACAAAGTATGCACAGCCCTACTACCTGCTTGCTATGTCTTATGATTTGTTTTGTTTAATTTTTGTTTGTGCTCCATACCATGTATGTGGTCATGAGAAAATAAAAGTGAAGTGAAAGTTTAAAAAAAAGGTAGGTTTTTGGTCAGGAAATTTGATTTGTCTGCTTTGTGGAGCTAAAATCAACATTCTTATTTTCAGCTGCATGAGGAACAAAACTGGCTCTGATAATTGGTCATATTCATGAATCACTTACAGCTAGGTTACTTCAACCTAACCATAATCTTTTTTTTTTTTTTTAAACTTAGCTTTGGGGGCTAAGTTGTTATACCGTTTGAGGAACAGTCTTCACTATTTTAGTGTTACCTCACAGTCATCCCCACAAAGACACAACAGCCAAGACACAAACGACCAGGCAATGATAGGATAAACAAACTGACAGAGACAGCATAACAAAGAAAACAAGCCATACCCATATTCAACCATTTAGCATGTTCTGTAAACAGTGGCAGTGCCCGTAAACATCCTTCAATTTTATAAAATCATGTAGCTGCACATGTTCATGTCGTCATTCACCTTTGGCACAAAGACATGTGAGTCAGAGATGAAGTGTGGGAGAACACACACTTACTGTCACACACACAAACCGTCCTTGTGTGGAAGGTCAGGGAAGCCATCCTGCTGTGTGTATGAAAAGTATAAATAATAAACGGGGGATAATGTATGGTAAGCAAAACAACTGACCAGACCGACAGCAGCTCCTCTCTCATTTCCTCTTTCTTCTTATCGCTCCTGGTCTGACTCTCCATCCTCTATCTCCCCTGGTCTCTCGTCATAATCTGTCCTTCCCTCTCCCGCTTTTATCTTCATCTAGTTTTCCTCCTTTTCTTACCGTGAGGGTGGAGGGTGAATGTAGTGACATCACCTACTTTAACCCCTGAGCAACCCCATGTTGCCTTCTTATCTTTTCATACAACACACATTGCATTATTCATAACTTCACACACACACGAGCGCACACACACTCTCACGCATGTGTAGATGTAGAAGGAGGGCACTATGGAGTGGGGAAGAGAACATGTAGCAAATGAAAGGTCAAGGGAGTGGAGAAAGCGAGATGTGGCCTCTGTTCATACTTCAAAGTTCCACCTTCATTATGATACTTCGATGTACACCAACATTAACCTAAATAATGCAAAGTGTACAAGACTTTTGTGGCCTCATATCCATTTATGCATTAAAAAACACATTTGTAGCTATAGTTGTTTTACTGGAGGGGCTATTGTGAATCATTCATAACTACACATGGCCAAGGAAACCATGGATATGGTCAAAGTTTATATGATAATTTGACAATGTTTTTTTAACCAGAACAGTCATACATATGGGAAAAACAAAGCATCAAGAATAATCAAGTCTTTCAAAAGGCTCTGAAGAATATTAGATTTTGATTGGTCGATCGCAGCATTCAAGTGACTGTTATTGATTAGCAAACCTCTGCAAAGGATAAGGAACTCATCACCTTCTGAGGTATCAGACATCCACAAAATCCAACACCAGATATTTGACACAACTGTAAAGAGAGACACACACAGACAGCTGCATAGAAAAAGTAAGACAGGTGAGGGGATGGTAGAGCCTACCTAAGTAAGAATAACTGACCTCGGATGGCCTTCCAGTCCAAGCACGCCTCCCATGTAAGGAGGGTACGATAGTCCTTGTTTAGTTCTAACCTGTGACCCTTTTCCATAGACTGTATATACTATGGACAACTTGGTTCCACCTTCCGCCAGTATACAGATTTGAAGCCACAAGGCTCTTGGTAACTCTGCATTGAAACCAACATTGCGCAGTAGCATTGTACGCACTCCACCACTTGCGCAGTAGCATTGTGTGCATTCAGAGGGAGAACTGCCGAGAGTCGCTGTGATGACGCTTGGCTCAAACAGCATATCCCCCCGGGTGAGCTATGCAATCTTCGTACGCCCATAGGCTGTATCACGTGTAAATCATAGAAAACATGAACCCCCTAATAACTTTTAAAAACAGAGCTGTACAGAAAAAAGAGGACTTGAGCACAAACCAGTCTTACTACACGTCAACATCGCAAGCAGGGGGGTATGGGCTGTGTGATAAATTTCTAAAGTTTGTCCGCAGCTCCATAAGCTTTGCTGGAGGAGGCAGGATTCATGACCTATACTGCAGCCCGTAACCAGAGGGTGCTGTTCTCGGAGGGGCTCCACCAAAGGAGGAGGCAGACAGCGTCCATTCTTTATACAGTCTATGCCCTTTTCCTATAGCCCTAGATTACGTTATGCTCAAATAAGACACGGTTAGATAATTGATTCTTCTGGTTTGAAGTGTGTGATCATGATGTTTTATGGTGCTTCTTAGTAAATCTGTGCAACAGTGCTACATGTGAGCTTGTTTCAGTGTACCTGGGGTAGATGTGGCAAAAAAAAAAGGCACTGCTAGCATTAATAAAATCTTTTTAATTACACAAGTGCAACCAACAGCAGATGCTATTTGGTGACTGTGTGGTTACTTCTAAACACACCTGTTATTTTGGCTGATTTAGACGTTGCAGCCAAAAGGGCAGGGTGAAGCACAAAATGAATTGGAGGTATTATGACTAATAGAAACCCTCTTAACCAGTCACATTACCGCTGTCACAGCTGAATCAACAATGTGCAAACAGTGAGAGCTTGTGGCATGACACACAGCACCACAAATTGGACACAGAAAAAAATGTCTTTGCTTGTACACTGACAACAACAAAAATATTACAACAGTATGAAACAGAGATGTTTTGATTAGGAATGGACATTTTAAGACAGTGCCTTGATCGATTCATCAGATTAATGAACAATCAATCATCAATTTGATCTTTTTTTTACGTGAATGGCAGAAAAGCCATTCAGGCACGTGTTCAGGTGATTTTCACCCGGCAATAGTGATGGAGGGTAAAGTAGGTTTGGGTGGATTTGATAGCTGCATGTAGGGAATAAGGTAAGTAAGAGTGGTCCTGGAATTTGCACGCTATCTTTATTTAGCGCAGTGGTTATGAATAACTATCACAAAGTAGTGATTTTCAAGGGACTTCATATGGTGATAAGAAATATTTTAGTCAGCTGGTCATTTTTACTCACTCAAAATTTGCCATATTTTGGTTCTCTCTGCTGCAGCTATTATTGTGCCAAGGACCCTGAGGACTCTATTTTCGTGCTTCGCCAGCGACATGCCGCACCGACAAGGCGTTCCCAAGCACAATTTGGTATTTTGGTGAGCGGTGTAAGTATCCCCCCCTCCCTAATTCAGCTCCTCCCAGCGGCGTAAGTTGTAGTGAGGGAGGGGAGAAGGCGTGGAGTGAGTTTAACACAGCCAAGACCTGTTTTCACCAATCACATAAGCTCCTCTCCTTGCTTTTAACTTTGCCACAGGCGAGGCGTATTACTATTTTCGTGAAGTAGTCAAAGAGATCAAGAGATGTCAGAAGACAATAATGCCACACGATGGCAACAGAAGGCAGCTCCTCAACAAGTGTCACTGTAAACGCTGCATTGGGCGTCCTCCACACTCTCTCATATGAGCACAGATGGATTTGGTGTGTGTAATGTTGGACCCACTGGTAAGACAAACACCCTTTTACACAAATAAAGACACTCACATAAAGTTGCTCATATTCAAACCTCAAGTGACAAAGGTGGGTTGTGTGCACAGATCATAAGATAAATTCCAATAGTGGCATTAAAATCAAAACCATCTGTGCGTAAATGACGCACCGCGCTCCGTGGCCTGGCTCTTTCTTTCATAGATGTTGGCATATAAAATAAATTTGGCTCACAAAACTGAATATTATAGGCTATAGTGTATATCAATAGTGATAGTGTTACTAATTTTAGTTATAGTGTTCTAGATCTGTGATCTGCCATGTTAAATTGAAGTCAGGGTTGCTTAAAAGGCCAAAGGACACTTGTCCTGCTGCGGTAAACTCCCTGCACATTCAGTCTTCACCCGTTCCATCTGCTGCAGGATACAATGTGAATCTGTAGAGAGCTGCAGATAGACTCTTACACTAACTAATACAAAGCCCATCCTGCTGTTCTTTTCTGCGTACAACAATGACACAGGAGCTTATACTGTTTCTATGCCTGCTTATGTGAGTACATTTATTTCCAGATAATACCACAGCTGCAGGTGTTTAAACTTCAAGAGGATTAACAGGCAGACCACTGTAACTACATATGTGGGAAACAAAACCCAGCTGTGCATGTGTGTGTTCTTGAGAGTGTGTGCTAGCAATGATGAAACATGGGTATGGTGCTGTTGTTGGCTGCTCCCCTTCCTTCAAAAAGCTCAAAAACCCCACTGTCTCCATGACAAGCTCTGCACACACAGTGATCCTAATTGCTGTCTCTCTCCTGCAGGGTGAGAAAATAGGCTACCTGAAGGCATCGTTCTCCCCTGGTTGCTTCCTCCCACCTCTACTCCTGCTAGATTCCTTTTCTTTCCTTCTCCACTTCTTCTTGCATCCCATGTCTTCTTTCCTCTCCCCTTTTCTTATTTTTTTTTTCTCTTTTATGTCTTCTCTCTCACTACCTCCTTACTTTTACCCCCCCCCTTCCTTGCACATAACCTCTTCTTAGTTTGTTGCTTTGTGATCACAAGCAAACAAAAAGACATCTTCCAGAATCAAATAAAGCAACCGCAGCTATTAAATTACACGCTAAGACGTGTACTTGGGATGTTAGGAGAATATTCCTTGATTAGCTCTTTGTTTGGCAGTTAGAGGAGATTGGCAGAAACAGCTTTTCAGATGATTATACCACCCACTGAACCTCTGCAGAGTGCTCAAGTGCTACACTCTTGAGCAAACTAACCACAGAGGAAGAACTACCACCAGTGTTCCCTCACATGTTGTGGAGTTGATTAAGGAGCTTATTTTTAATGAGTATCGTCTTCATCAAGAATGAAAGTGTTTCATATTGCCATGCCTCCTCTAAAGAATAATTAAGTCTCATTTAAAATCCTCTCTAGTTTGCTCAAATTACAATAAAATCTGACAGCATGAGAATTATGTTTCTTTTTTCCTTTACATTCATCCGTAGATCCTTTTTATGCTCTTATGGTTGCCTGGGGTGGAGATGCATACACATATTTTATCACTCCATTTACCCTTGATAACGTGTTGATTTCTTTTGTTTTCTCCACATCAGATAATCATAACTAGTATCCAAACCGTACTACACTTGTCTGGGCAATGAGGCTTGTTGTTTTGTTTTCTAGGTTTTAAGAAAATTATCCTGAGAGAACATTTGTTTCCAGTAGCCAGATAATGAGATGTATAAACCCATATTAATGTCAAACTAACTTTGTTACCCAAGTATAAGAAAGAAAAATTAGTTGAGATGAAAGAAAAATAGACAAAATCTCAAAATCAAGGGGAAACTGGCCAACAACCAAGGAAAAATTACATAAGACTTTGTAAAAACTGCTGCATGTAAACTCAGAGTTCTGTATGATTCCCTCAAACAGTCCGTACTTTTACATGCACAGTAAGTCCAGTCACAGTCATAGCGCAGTTTTAACCATAAACTGTAAATAGAATAAACGCCATCTGCCTCCTCGCTGGGTAACACCTGCAAAAGAAGAGCACAGTCTGGTGGCGGGCTGCAGTAAAGGTCATAAATCCCGCCTCCTCCAGCAATCCCTACGGAGCTGCGGACAAACTTTAGAAATGAATTACACAGAATATAAATTTTGCTCCTCCCTGGTTGCAATGTCAAC